CATTGCCTAACTACGAGTAAAATAAGTCCAGCCCGGAAGCGCTGATGCAATACGTGGCAAGCAATATCCTTCCTCAAGACAACGTAAGTGTTAGCTTCCTCGACTACGGCGGAGTTGCCCTACAGGAACTCATAATATGGGATAGGTCGAAAAGTACCTCGATCTCTGAGGACTTTTAAGCTTTGAAAACTTCCACGGAGCCATGATATACCCATTTTCAGAAACCCCAGGAGACAGTCTCCACTAATCAGAGATAAAAACATTCAAAATGATTTTTGGTCTTTTTCTAGAACAGTTCAATCAAAGTGTCGCAGGACTTTTCGAACAACCTAATACTATCCTTCACTAGATAACCTAGATGCTAATGACGGATGTACTAAAGTGGGTCTGACCCCGTCTATACGGAGAAACTGTGCTCTTCGTGAAGAAATGTCTAGCGATGGGGAATGTGCAAAAGTGGGCCTGATCTCTCGCATAACCAGGAACTGTACTTTTTAACTCATTTTACACCATTGTTTGTTGCGTTGCGGCGAATTATTTGTTGACAAAGACGAGTGCAGGCTCTTCAAACTGTTTGTATCAGACACGCCCTTTCTATTGAGAAGTTAATGTTGTTTTTCCTCACGATTATGCTGCAGGTTGACAGCAGCGGACGAATTGTTTATATTTCGTGTGGTGGCGTTCCATGGAAAGAACACTTCTTCCAACTTGAGGAGGAAAAGGGCTTGGTGTCTCGAAGAATGACGTACATAATCTTTGAAGGTGATACTTTCTCACATTGCGACACTTTCGATGTTTCGCTCTCGAAAGGACCTTGATTGGTCATTGCTAAGATAGACGCCACTAACTCTCCATTTTCCTTACGTAAAGATTTGTTCCAAACCATTTTTTTCATAGATACAACGGCCAAGAACTTCCGGATACAAGCTATACCTAATAATAGGTTATCAACTTTTGACAACAGGTGAGCGATCTTCAGATAGGTATTTTCAATCGCAATTCCGCAAGGGCAGGGAGCATTTTGCACTTTCGTTGTTTCCCATTGTCGTGTCGAGCATCTAGTAGAAAATTGGAAGAAGCTGTTTAACCCATCATGTGATACCAGTCAAAGATTGTAGAAATTACCTGTAGAGAACTAGCGATTCTTGTAAAGCAATAAACACGACAATGGGAAGTAGCAAAAGTGCAAAATGCCCATCCACCCTCCACCCCCCCCCCTCCGTCGCTGAACAGCACCTAAACTCCTTATCCTGGAGATAGGGGGTTACCGCATGCTTCATTTAAATGTGATGGCGCTTACGCTTTTGTGGGATTTTTCTATTTGTGGAGCCCTTGAAATCACTCTGTGTTGCATAAGACAGGGTGGCAGTTCACGGAAACGGGAATATCTCACGAAAAACGCATACTGCTGTTGTGTTCTGTCAGATACTGTGCAAACTAAGCACGCAGCCACGATTAACCTATCTGCGTAATATGGAATCTAGTTACCGTGCACTGTGATTTATGGTC